GTGCCGAGAAGTCTGCTGTAATTCTGATGGATGTTCCCTTGTAAGTGATCTGTTTCTTGTCTCTGACAGCTTTCAATATTCTGTTCTTATATTGGATTTCTGAAATTTTGATTATTATATGCCGGGATGTAGTTCTGTTTGAGTTGTAGGTGGCTGAGGTCCTGTACGCCTCATAGATCTGAGTATCTTTACTTTTTCCCATATTAGGGAAGTTCTCCTTGATCATTTCTGTGAATAGCCTTTGCAGTTCATTTGTTTGTATCCCTGCTTCTTCTTTTACGTTCTTAATTCTTAAGTTATAGATCCTCTTATCATCTTCTAGCCTTTGCATTGTTACTGCTTGTTTCCTTGTTATTTTTAAGAAGTTTTTCCTTTCATGCTCCCACATTACAAATATGTCCTCCAGTTCAGATAATCTATCCTTGGCTTCTTTCAAACCAGCTTTCAATAGAGTTTTTAGTTTCCTGGTAATCTCTTTGAACCTGCTTAACGTATTCTACGTTTTCTCTATTTTCTCCATCAAACAATTCTCCCTTTTTTTCTGTTCTTCCATCCACCATCTGTTTTTTCTTGGGGGTGCTTAGCATTTCTTTAACTATTCTACTCATGTCTTGCTTCACTTGTTTAAATACTCCACTTTTGAACTCATCTATGAGGTCCTGGAGATATCACTTTATGTTTATTGGTGCCATGCCTGATATTGCATGTTTTCTGTCCTCATTCTCCTTTGCATTTACCTTTCCAAAGGATAACACTCTCCTTTGCAGTGTTCTCAGGATTGGAGACTGAGGACCCTTTCTTGTTGTTCCCTCTTCCCATATTTTTTGTTCCTTCCATACAAGCATATATAAGAGGCCCAGTTTCTTTCTTTGTTGGTTACAGTTTGTTTGAATCATGCTGGCTAGGTATTCCCACCTACTGCAGTGTACTAGGGAGACACAGACCTGGGCAGCCTATGCTGGGCCCACCCCTCCATGTCAGCCTACTGAAGGCTTCACTGCTAGGGTGCACCACCAGGTGCTGGGACCTGGTTTGGGCTAGGCTACTGGGTCTTAGTCCACAGCATCACCCAGGTCAATCGCTCCCCACCAATCCCACTTGAGAGGGGAATATATGACTGAAGTCACTGTAGTGTCCTGTTCTGGCTAGTCTGCCTGGTTCCAGGATGTCCTCTGTTGGAGCCTCCTAGTCTATGGAAGGGTCCCCGTTCCTCTCACTCACTGCAGGTCGATGCAGGGCTCCCCACCAGTCCCGCTCTCAACTCCATTCGCCAATTCCCGCTCTCAGAGCTTTCGCATCTCTATCCCTGCTGTGTCAATTCAGATGCAGCAGCGGTGGCAGGAAATTCAAGCTGCGGTTTCTCGAGGTGCAGGTTCTAGCTTCAGCACTGAGACTTTAGCTGTTCTAGTCGTAGCACCGGGATTGCATTTCCAGTGGGTTTCTCTCAGCTTAGTTCGTTCCTGGGTCAGGAGGGTATATCTCCCCCTGCTTAGGACTCCCCACACCGCACCATTCCTGGAATCACAGCTGGCTATCTCAGAGAGCCTCCATAGCTGCTGTTATCTATCTGCCCTGTTCTCCTGAAAGTGTTGAACTCTTTAAATTGTTGAGTTCTTTTGGTTTTTGAGACATACAGTCTTGCTATGTAGTCCAGGCTGGCCTTGAATTCACAGTGATTCTCCTGCAGCACCCTGCGTGCTGGGCTGACAAGTATGCACCATCAGGGCTGCTTCTGCAACAAAATCTCAAGTTCAGCTTCAGAAATGCTGTCCTGATTCTAGTTAATTCCACTCTGTTCACCTTCCTGCATACCTGTCCCCACATCGGGAATGGTCCACATCTGAGTGATGGCATAGGACACTGAGCCATGAACTTGGTTTTCCCCAGTGCTGTAAATCTGGGTCACCTTTTTGACCTTCCCCATCTCTGTTTACCAACTCCCCTCCCTGCTGGCCAACAGCAGGGGCCTTTGCTTTTTAAGAGCAGCCTGTGGTAATTGAAGCAGCAGGAGGAGAAAGAGGTCACCGAAACTGAAACAATAACAGCAGCTGATGCCAAAGAGAAAAAAACAAGAACTGTTTCTGTCCTTAAAAACTAACAAAACTATCCCCAAAAAATGAGGCGGATGTTAGGGAAGAGACCTGGAGGGCTGCAAAAGTTTAGGGGTCATGGACACTGTCAATCCTAATTTATTTCAGAGAACTGGAATTTGAGAACAGGGTAGGGAAGAGTTTAGTTCTGTTTATGAACTTTGTTCTTGAGTTTGCATCTCATTTGATTTCTATTATACAGCGTTTCAAAATCCTTGCCCAGTAAACTTAACCAAAGAAGCAGAAAACTTGTACAATGAAAACTATAAATTGTTGCTGAAAGAAATTAAAAGAGACAAATAAACAGCAAGTCAGCCCACATTCATAGACTGGAAGATTTAGTATCATTTTTTGTTTGATTGCTTGTTACCAGGAATCAAACTTACGCTTGCCAGGCAAGTGCTTTCTAATTGAGCTATATCCCCCAAAGTGGTTTACAGATTTATTGCAGTATCTATCAAAATTCCAACAGCATTGTTGGTTGAATTAGAAAAAATCTATCCTAAAAATCATTTAGAACTTCATTTTGACCCCAAACAGCCAAAATAATCTGGTAAAAAAAAAACAGAGTTGAAAGTCTCATACACCCTGATTTCAAAACTTAATAAAAGCTACAGTAATAAAAATGGTGTGGCACTAGCAAAAAAAAAAAAAAAAAGTATAGGCCAATGGAATCTGAGTCCAAAACAATCCCACATCAACACATAGTGGCACCTCAGTTCACAAACTTACTTCCACAATTCTGGCCATGGACTGAATTGGATGAGAACCAAATTAAATTCAGTGGTTTGGTGAATTACAAATGACACACACCTGTAATCCCAGTACTTGGGAGGCTGAGGCAGGAGGATCTTTGCAAGTTCAAGGCCAGTCTGAACTACACAGCGAGGCTCTGCCTCAAATGTCAAAAACAAAAATTTAAAAAATTCAGTGGTTAGGTTCAGTGTTGACCTTTTAGGGAAATTTGATTTGGTTCCTGTCCAATTTGGTGTGCAACCAGAATCATGGCAAGAATTAAGTTCATGAACTGGGGTACCACTGTAAAGAAGGATTTTCAACAACAGTGCCAGTGCCATTCATGAAGTAAGAACAATGTCTTCAACAAATGTTTCTGGGAAAACAGTATCCACACACAAAGGTATGAAGTTGGCTCTTTTTCTTAAACAATATGCAAAATAATTAACTTAAAAATAGATCAAAGACCTTAAACGTAAAAACTAAAACTAAAGAACTTTTAAGACAAAACCTAGAATAAAAGCTTCATAGCTGGGCATGTTAGTGTCCGCCTGTAATTCCCAGCACTCGGGAAGCTGAGGCAGGATAACTGCTGTGAATTCAAGCCCAGCCTGGACTACACAGCAAGACCCTGTTTCAAAAAACAAAGAAATAATAAAAACTTTGTGATACTGCATTTGGCAACGACCTTAAATAGGCTGTGAAAGCAACCAAAGTAAAAATAGACAAACTGGACTACATGAAAATTAAAACCTTTTCCATCAATTGACACAAGAGAGTTTCAAAGGCAAACTACAAAATGAAACAAAGATGTAGCTCAGTGAGAACTTAGCTGGTCAAAGTCCTGGGTTCAGTCGAAGTACTGAGAAAGGAAAAAATCAATCAGAATGATAGGTACATGGATGGGGGCAGGCAGAAAGGACAGACAGACTGATAGATGGATAGATCGATAGATAATGGACTGGAACTTCCTGGCCTTCCAAGCTCATAGCCAAGACAATTGCATTTCTTTGGTCAGTCTTGTTTCTTAGATTGGGAACTCCTCTGGGGTCAGGATTATTCTTTTTTAATCCTGTGTCCCCAGGGCACACTAACCCAAGTACATAGCAAATGCCCAATAAGAGACTGAATGGTTAGGGTGAGGGCAAGGTGTATCTTAACAATAATTCGGAGACAGCCCTTCAGCCAAGCAAGAAGTTTGCCCTTTCTAGAAAGAACACTTTGAACTAGAGTTATGGGGAGAATGTGGGTCTGGTGGGAGCAGCAAGAAAAGAAAAAGTGAGGGCTGGGGACATAGCTCAGTGACACAAGCATATGCCTGGCAAGTGCGAAGTCATGAGTTTGGTCCTTGGGACCAAAAAAAAAAAAAAAAAAAAAAAAAAAAAGAAGAAGAAGAAGAAGTGGCACAAAATAAAACCCAGGTAAGCAAGCTGATGAGGTCCACACTCATTTCATTTGAGTCATTTATCTGGGACCCACTGCGACAGTGGCTCAGTGGGTCTGACTTCACAAGCCACAGACTTTGCTTCATTTTTCAAGTAGACATTATTTGGTCTGGCTGATTGGGCTGCCTCGCCTGCTAACAATAAGATGTTCTTGAAAGGCCCATTCACACAGACAGTCCTTTGTCATTTTTTCCCTCCTGAAATCCTGGCAAGGATTCCTAACAACGGGTAATCAAAATGTCAGCCTTTTTTTTTTTTTTTTTTTTTTTGTCAATATAATGCATACTTTTAAAGTCACAGTCAGACTTTGCAAGCTAAAAGGAAGAGTGGATACTAGTTCTGCCACCCAGGTAAGGAAATTTGGGTCAGAGAGCTGAGTTGAAGGGAGTTTAAATTAGAAACCTGAACCCATGGCTCACCCTGCACCCCTTCCCTTCTGCTATCCACCAGCAGCTGTAGCCACACACACCTCCTTGGACCTCTCCACGCTCCCGCTTTCTGCATTTTCTGTGTAATAAAGGGCCCCTCTGGAAAACTCCACTCGTCTATTTAGGAGGAGAGACACAGGCCAACGACATTTTCACAGGTTAATTTTCCTTGGATTGGTCTACGTATTTCTAAAAATTCTTCACAGTGACTTGTGGCTGGGGATGAAATAGGGAAGGGGGCTTCTCCAAAAAAACGGTTGGAAACGGTATTGTGGGGTCAGGAGAAGCGCGCTCACATACACGCGCGGCCATCAGGGGTGCAGCGAGGCGCTCTCAGACTCTGGCCCGGGTTCCCAGTTGCAAGGCCCCTCTCGAGCTGCCGGGGACCCCAGGGGGCGCCTTTTCAGTTCCCCGCCCGCGAGCGGCCCTGATTGGCTGCAGCCCCGCAGGTCGCCTCCTCTGACAGTCCGGGCGGCCGCTTCAGGTCTTTGCAGCGCAGTGCGCTGGGGACTCGCAGGCAGCACGACGGCCGCTGGGACCCCGCTGAGCGCCTGCGGGGCGGAGAAGAGTCCAGGGCTGCTGGTCGCGGGGACGTGGGGCGCCGAGACCTCGCTGGAAACCAGAGCAACTCCGCCATGCCCGACGCGGGGACGGTCCCCTGCCGCGGCACCGAGGAGCAGGATGGCCCGGAAGGGCCGAGCGCGCGCGGGCAGCGGCTGACCGTGGTGTGGAGGAACGTGGTCCTCATGGGCCTGCTGCACGCGGGGGCCGTGTACGCCCTGGTGCTCGTGCCCAGGGCCCAGCCTCTCACCCTGCTCTGGGGTAAGTCAGCCTGGACCCGGGCAGGGACGTCTGTCCGGTGCTGTCAACCTCTGCTGAGTGTTTGTGGATGCAAGGGGACCTAGGGGGTGCAGGTGCAGGTGCAGCCCCCGCGAGTCCCCGAGGTCAGACGGCCACCTCCTCGGTGGCCACGGGCCTGGGCGGAGTTAAGGACAGACAGTACAGGGAGTTTGGCGGTGGAGGAAGGGTGTGAGAGGCAGTACTGGGCCCCAAGAGTTTCTTGTCTGTGACCACAGTGCTCTGCTCCACCACCAAACTTCAGGTGGCTGTTGGAGTCCCCTCTGGGCCCTTCTCTATGTGGCTGTACTGCTCTTAGTGCACCTGTGGCTGTCTTGCCACCCACCCTCCTTACACCCCGACATGCAGGGAAGGGAGCCCCACTGCCCTCCAAGATTCTAAGAACTCGCTGCCTGCCCAGAAAGACCCCTGGGTGCATCCCTGAGCCACCCCGCAGGCCTCCCCCCCCCCAACTGGTTTGGCTTCTGTCACTGCAGTAGCAATGGCCAAGCAGGAGACAAACGTGAATATACTGGGCTGAGCATTTGAAGAGGAGTCCAAGAAGCTTTTCTAGCTCCAGTTCCACTTACAGCCCTGAGGAACACAAAGAGCTTTTGTTTTCAGAGGGTAAGAGACAGCAAGATGATAAAACGACCCTTTTCTGCAATGCTGCTTCCTGGCAGAGTGCCAGGTGCAGATGCCCTGTAGACAACAGGGCTGCTGGGATCCAGGCACTTCTTAGAGCGCTTGAGTCTGCTTTTGGTAGGACGGATCTGGACTGGGGTGCCCCTTGCTCACAGAGGGAACTTGGTTAAAAGGCCCAGTCCCTGGGAATCTTAGAGCCTTTAACCCCCACCCCACCCTAGCTCTGGGCAGGTCCCTGCTGTGTTCTCCTGCTTTCAGGGCGTTTTTTCACTTAGTATAGTTTTCACCATTGTTCTCTGATAGGGAGTTTAATTCTCTGTCTTCTCCTCTTACCTTTAAGTGCCGATGTTATGCCTTATTCAGCCACTATCTGATGGACACTCCCCCGCTGGGCCAGCCAAAGCCCAGGCTGCCAGAGTCTCCTAGGTATTGAGGCAGGGCTGTTCAGGGGACTTCAGAGCCCATGAGGCCAGCCTTCAATAACCGTGGTGTTCCCAGAGAGCACTTAAAGTCTTATGTTTCATGCCAGGAGCGCCACAGGGCCCGCAGGCTCCACTCTCTGCAGCCACTGAGCCCTGAGACCCTGGCATTCGGTCTGGAGCCACCAGACCAAGGCTCTCCAGGTTTGCAGTCATTGTTTCTGCCTTTCCCAGACTTCTCGGTGGGGAAAGTAGACTCTTCTACTTTCTGAGAGACCTTAGCCAGAGGGCACATCCCAATGATCCCAGTGTCCGTTAGTCACCTCAGCACAGCCAGCACACTAAGAGGATCTGATTCCCTTTGTGGCACTGAGGCCGAACCCCACCCCTCATCTCTCTGTGTGAGCTGCTACTTTCATTAAGCTTCGTCAACTCCGTTCTCTAAATCTATTTTCTCCCCACCGTGAGTACCTCTCTGAAAGGAGAGAAAAGGGGAAAGAGTAGACCGAGGATGTTATGGTTTCAAGTTCTAAAACCGTGATTTAGAAATATTCCAAACTATGGATCACATCAGATGGACGTCTTTGGAGGGAAAAAAAAACGAGACAAATTCCAGCTGAGATCCTTTGTGATGATAGCTTCACCTTATTAGGCAACCAGTGGGAACTGGGGGGCTGTTGAGCCAGTTTTCTTTTCGGTGAAAGCCTTGACGCTTTGACTCACAGGTCTCCCCGCTCTGGTGGTCCTTCCAGCCATCTCCCTTGCTGGTTCTCTCTCTCTCTTTAGGGCTGAGTTCTCGTCCCAGCAGACTGCCATCGATTCAGGGACCTGTGTTACCAAGGAAATAGGCATAGTGCACTCATCCACTTCTTCACCACTTCTTCAATCAGTGGTGAGGCTGTCCTGGAAATGAGGCATTATCCATGCGGCACGCCCCTCAAGGGATGCATTAGGTGTACAGAATGCAGGGAGTGACTTGTGAGCTGAAAAACAGCATCTGTGGGGAGCCATCAAGTGCTTCTGTCCAGTCTCCACTGCTACCTGACCCCCAGCTTTTATGGTTCTTCCTGGGGCTCAAGAAAGTTGTTGTCCCTTCTGACCCTCCCACATTTGGAGTACACATGTGGCAGAATATGTTCTTAGCACTTGCAGGCATGACTTGTGACTCTTGGGGATAAAAAGTAAACTCCTCCCAAAGTGTTCACAAAGACGGACTCACAAAATGCTGTGGGGTTGAAGGCTCCTGGCCAAAGGGACAGGTCAGCAGTGGCCTGGCTCCCAAAGGCAGGAGCAATGACTGCAAACCCAGCAGAGCCTTGATCTGGTGGCTCTGGATCAAATGGTGGCTCAGGGTCTCAGGGCTAAGAGGCTGCAGAGAGTGACTGCAGGCCCTGTGGTGTTCCTGGCATGAAACGTAAGACTTTAAGTGTTCTCTGGGAACACCATAGCTATAAAGGCTGGCCTCATGTGCTCTAGTCACAGCTGCAGATAGAAGACCTGGGGTAGATAGAAATCCTCGTGCTCCTTTTGTCTGATCATTTCTAATCATCTGGCTGTTGACTTCCAGAAGTGACAGGGGCTTTTCTGATTTATCTCTGAGTGTCATCAGAGATCCCTACATGTGTCTCACAATGACATAATTTTTACTTCCCTGCAAAGGACAACCCCAGTGACAGTACTAGACTTGTGAAGCAGACATTTAACCTCTTGCCTTGAGTAGATCAGATGTCTTCCTGCCCTGGGACACAAGTGACCACTGTGAAGTAGGTACAGGACTCTCTGGTGCCCTGTGGTACTGGAACATGCAAGCAAGTGTCATCCTGTGACACGGTCAGTAGGAAGTGGCAGAGATGAGCATGGTGTGTGGAGGAGGAAAGTCCATAGAAGATGGGTTTGGGCGCTGGTCCAGCAATCGCATTCTGACAGTTGCCCAGAGATGAGCTGTTGGCTGTCAGGTGTTGCACAGCCTCCATCCACTGCTTGGGATGGTCTTGATGTCACTGTTGGATTACATTTCTTTCCCATCAAGTCACTTGGGTTGTTGAAGAGCCCAAGAAAGCATGGCCATTAGCTTCTATGTACCTTCAGGTTTTCTAGGGTGAGCAAGGTGGATATGAATGGGAATCCTGTATGCTTAGCAGTCATGTGGTTTTGGACAAATTAGTATCACTGTACCCAGGTTTTTTACCTGTAAAATGAGTGTAAATACTGCTTACTCCTCACGTGAGAAATTAGATGCAATCATATCTGTACGTCACAGTACAGAGCCTGCTCTTGGTTAGTGTCAAAAAATTGTTATCTGCAGTTGTTATTATTGGTCCTAATACTGGGGCTTTCTCTATAGCAGAAGGATGAAGGTCTCCCGACGGCACAGTAGACTGGCACAGGACGTGGCTTCATTGCCTCATGTGCGGAAAAGATTGCTTTAGCTCTGGAAATAAAGGTTCTTTCCTGAGGAAGCAACAGGGAGAAAGAAACACAAATCTGTCTGTGTGTTGTTCATCCTTCCTCCTGCATCCTCTTCTCTTTCATTGTCTTCCTTCGTTTCCTCCAAAAGATCACTGTTTTGTAGCTAAGAATCTTTTTGTTCAGTTCACAGCTCACCTGGTGTTTAGGATTCCCTTCATTTCCCTCCCTTCCCTGTGTAGAGTCAGGACTGCTGTAGAAGCAGCCAAATTATTTCTTGGACTCTCTTAGAATCTCAGTTTTGACTTATGTTTCTCTCTCCTGTCCCCTTGAGTCATCCCTGAAAAAGATCTTCAGGGCTCAATTAAACTACAGAAAACTGAGAAAAAAAAAAAGTACCTTCCTCTTTTAAACCCTGTGATTCCCAGCCTGTGCTTGATGTAACTCCAGCATTTTTAATCAGTGGACAAGAGCGTGAGCCTCATCCCGGCCGGACTGCAGCAAAGCCCAGGAGAGCAGGAGTGCATTGCTTTTCCTGGCTGAACAGCCCCACCAGGTATAAATATAGATGGAGGTTAACATTATTAACTCTGTTTTTTTCTAAAGCTTGTCAAGGTCACTGCAGACTGTGCTGCAATCGTAAAATGAGTAATTGCACTGCAGAGTAGAAACCAGGCTGGAAACCTGGCATTGCGGATTAGTTCCACTTCAGACTTTGTAGTTTGTGAGCCTCCGTTTCCTCTGATCTCACAGGGAGCGCTCATTAAACAGCTGGCCATGGAGTAGTCAGTCAACACCATCTACTGTTATTACTGCCCAGGGCTGGACAGTCCTCGAGTACCTTATTTAGTTTCATGTATCACAGGAAATGATCATAATCACTGGGAGAAGCTGCTCATAGATTTCTGAAAGGGTGAATTCTGTACCCTTTGCCCTACAGTCCACTCATCCCTCTGTTTGTCTGCTTCTTTTTTCTTTTTCTTTTTGGACAGTCTCACTATTAATCCCAGGCAAGGCTTGAACTCACTCTCCTCCTGCCTCAACTTCCCAATGCTGGAACTGGGCTGATTGCAGCCACTTCTGGCTTGCTCCAGGCTTCTTTAGATGTGCCACAACCTTGGGGTTAAAAGTCTTGAGTTTTGAGCTGGGAGTGGGGAAACTGAGGCAGGAGGATGGCGAGTTTAAATGCACTCTAGACAACATAGTGCCTTAGCAAGAGCCTGTCTCAAAATAAAAAACAGAAAAGGGCTAGAAATGTAGCTGCCTGCAGAAGCTCTTGGTTCAACCCTTGAGTACTTATCTAGATACAAGGAAAACAAAAGCAGGAGCACGGCATTGCTCAAAGGCTGGGCCTTCCAAGTGTATCTCTGGGCAGAGCACTCCCGTGAGGGTGGGAATAAGCAGTTATTAGAGCTGGTAGTCCCTCAAGCACAGTTTGTGTTCCCAGGTGTCTGTCCCAGTGGTTAAAACACTGAAATAGAGAGCAGAAGCTGTCTCCTTCCTGTTCTACTTGCC